TTTTATGAATTAGCTAAAGTTGAACTTTCATTATTTGTACAAGGCTTTGTATTTGACATACTTGATATTTGATGTGTGACAGAGACAATACAGAGTTTGGTTCGACGTCTTGGTTACACTGTTGCAGGATATTCATTTGTAAGTCCATTCCTTCTACCAAGGTCAAATTGCAATAGCAATTGTTGGTTATAAGTTAATATATATACATCTTAGTTTTAAATAGCTTGTTGTTGGGTTATTAGTTACTATCTATATATCTAAATTTTATATTGCTAGGAGATTGTAACTCTTAGAGGTTATCTTTAGTGAACAATCTTTGGCAGGAGGATCTAAAGCAAAGTAAAGAGGATGGGGAGAAATACTATAATCAATTATCAGATGAAGAAAGGGCGAAATTTGATGAAGAGACATTACTTAATCTGAACAATACAGAAAAGAGAAGTATAAAAATCCAGAGTGATATGTTTAGCAATGAATACTGAATGGTATGGTTTGATTATTAAAAAGCTAATCTTAAATGTGCTTCAGTTTATTTGAATTCAGCATGCAAAACGGTTATTGTGATGAGCATTGCAGAAAAAAAAGTGTTCTCTACTTCAATTTCAGCCATTAGAAAAATCATAATTTTGCATAATATCAGCAATATAGCTATAACCAATTAATAGTCTATTGCAGTTTGATGTAAAGGAGATTAACGAGGGAAGGAAAATATTTGAAGAAGAGAGACTTCTCAATGGGTTTGGCAACGAATACATAGTGGTATGGTATGATCTCTTTGTGCACATACTATTCCTGATTAAAATTTTGTTTGTGTACCAGCACAAACTTTCATTTCACTCCTAATTTAAGCATTATAAAATTTTAAGTGCTGTAGTCCCACAATATTTTCATGCTTCCTTGCTCATATTTGTATCATCTAACTAGGGTTCGCATAAGTGAAGATTTCAAATTGGATGCATCAACTCAATTTTATTTTGAAAATATTACTAGATGTAACTCATTTCCAAATGTATTTTGATAGGCCATTAACACACCTATATTGGTATGTAGGAGAAGAGGAAAATATGATTAGCCCAATAATAACAAAGGCTTTGCTCCTGATTTCTCAATTAACAGTGCTCAGTATATTTTAGAATCTATCACTATTCAACATTTATTCTTTGTTTAGTTGCAGACAACAAATGAGAGGAGAAAAAAGAAAAGAAAGAGTATAAAAAAATATATATCTGAATTTTTTTTTTTTACAAATAGTGAAAAATGTTTAAATGAGTTTCATTCATTTTATTTCTCGTCTAAAATCCATGTTCTATCATATAGGCTCGTTATTCACCAACATGTCCACATATCAAAGATGCAAGATCCTTACCTGCTTTATACTTTCATTGTATCAAGATATCATCTTAGGAAAGATTAACTAGAGAGGCATGTGGTCCAACTCAATTGCTTGATCCTTATTAGGCACTCATTTATTTCATTTTTATCTTTGGATTGAAAATTTTGAATCCATAACTCGTATCTTCTAAAATCCCTTTTTCTTGTCAAAGTTGAACAATGCAAAAAGAAAAGTTTTTGCATTGTTTGTTCTTATACTTGAGATGTACTTATACCAGATAACAATCTTGGTTGCTGCTAAAGGAGCACATAAGCTTCCTAACATAAATGGGGCTGAAGATTTGAAGATAGCCTTACAAAAGCTCAGGAGCCTTCTCTCAAGCAAATTATTAGTAAGAGATCAGTCATTAAGTTAGTATATTTTTATATAATTAGTGTTATTTCTTCATTAATAATAACCAGAAGCTTGAATTTCCTAAAGGCTGGTGAGGTGTTGTGGACCCCACAAAAGGAGGATGACACCCTTTCAAAACAAAAACTACTTGAAGACTACCCTCAATTAGCAAAAGGCATGAGAAGCTTTCTAGTTAAGAAACACGAATGAAACAAAAAGGGCAATGTGAGCTTGGTTCCGTTTGGTGTGTCAAATTATTCCCTAACTTCGATTTTTTCAGGTTTTAAAAATTAAAAAATCTTTATACAATAAATATAATTTGAATATTTTCTTAGGTTTTATATGTTAATCTTTTTTGTTTGTTACATTTAATTGTATTGCAAATCGTTAAAGAAATTTAACCTATATTATTATTTTTATATGAATTTAATTAATAACAATGTAAAATCATTTTAATACTACCATTCAATCATTTATTACTATTAGTAGTAAGATTGCATATTCTTATTTTAATTGCTTAAAAAATTTATATCTAGATAATTTCTATTTGTTGATAGTGGAATATAAAAAATAAACATTTTATATAATTAAAGTCTTATTTATTTATGCATCATTTGTATTTCAAAAAAAAAAATCATGGAAAATCGCATAACCCGAAAACAATTCTTACAAATAAACATAGATTAGAAAACGAACGACATTTGTTTCCTAAATGAAGTTCTACAACGTAACATTCTCGTAAAATAGAAAAACAACGGATACACCAAAGATAAATAACTATAACAAACAAGGTTGAAAAGTCAAAAGTAGTTATGAAAGATTATCTTTTTAAAAGATAGTTTAATTACTAACTAACTTGTCCTAAGAAATTGGAACTCATTCAACCCCTACCAGGCCGACGTAAATTATCTGCTGTTTATTTATGGTTGTGCCACCGCGTTTTTATAACGTCGGTCTTTACCCATTCCGACGTAATTTAGGAGACGTAAAAGCCACTTTTTCCACTAGTGACAGTGAATTGGTTGCCTGTACTTGGAATTGTAAACCGTTGGAATTTATGGTATGACTCAACAGTTTGATAACAATTTAACACATGTAGTCTTTAAAAACAGTGATACTTATATATGACATCCTTCTATCAGGTTTGGTTCCCATATATGATTATGTTGGGGATTATAATCTGTTTCTATTTTGATTACTGGCTCTTTTTAAACGGAAGGTTTATTCCTTGTGTACTCTGCAATACTACTTGCACCAATTATATGACCTTATAACAATTTTCGTTACCCTAATTATTTTGTTAGCAGCTATTGTTTTTCATTATAGCAATAAGATATGATTTCTTTACATGCAAATTGCGAAGGAGTTGTCATAGATTGAGAGCCTGCTGGACATGCTTTTCATTTATTGATTAACTCATTCACAACATCTAAGTTATCTTATTTTGAAATTTGTATTTTGCTCAAGAGATGTGCTCTCATTCTTTTGCTCACTTGTATTAAGCTTTGCTATTGACTCTATGCCAGGGGTTAATCTAAAGGAGATTACAAATGAAAAAATCAGTAACAATATGTGCTTGTACCTGGATTGGAACCCTTCAGCCTCATCCATCACAGTAGGACTTTCTGATGGCTGTGTGTCTATTGTTTCTCTTCTTGAATCAAAGCTGGAAATTCAAGAAGAGTGGAAGGCACACGATTTTGGTATATACTGGCTCTGATGATTGTAAGTTTAGTTGTTGGGATTTGCGAGATAGACCTCTCAATGAGGCATTTCACAGCTCTAAAAGTCCACAAAATGGGTGTTTGTTGCATTGAGAAGAGTCCACATGACCCAAATATCTTGTTAACGGGAAGCTATGATGAATTCCTAAGGGTATGAGATTTAAGTTCAATCTGAAAACCTGTTAATAAGACTTCAATTAATTTAGGTGGAGGAGTTTGGAGAGTTAAGCACCATCCCTTCATTCCAGGCCTGGTCTTGGCTGCTTGAAGTATTGGAAACTTACAAGAAGCATGATTCTCTTGCTTATGGAGAAGCAAATCACATTGATGGGAAAACCAAACCACTTGTGGCCACTTGCACATTCTATGACAAACTTGTCCGGGTGTGGAGGCCAGGTAATGATATTGTCTTGTAGATTGATAGCCTAGTTAGAAATGTAATGCATTGTTCTTATTTTTTTTATGGATCATGGTTGCATTATATGACCCTTTCACTTGCAATTAATCGTTTTTACTCACTCATTCACAGCTTGAAGGATGAGCTAACGTGTCACTCTTTCATTATGGTAGTTGATTGATCTTGATTTAATGGTTACAGACAGAAAAAGAAAAGTAGAACAACCTATACAACTACAAGTTTATATTTACACATTATGTTTTTGTTGTTAGTATACCACTTTTTGTACAATAATTATAAGGGGTATATCATGCGAGAATTTTTATTACTATGGAAAATAAGAGCAATAAATATAAATTATTAGTTCATATTGGAATGGTTAAGGTTAAAAGATAAATGTACATGATTTTTATTATACTTTATGAAATTATAACTATGTATTTAAACATTGTTGCACAAACATTTTGGTTATAATTTTTTTAAAAAAAGAATTTAAGTTAATTCAAATGTACACCAACTTTTTTTTATTAAAAAGATGTCATCTTAAATATTTTATTAAAATAGTCATTGTTATACAATAGTGGAATATATGATTAGCCTTATATTACAAGGTGTTATATAATTGATAGATAATTTTGTCTCTTAAACATGTGGTTAGGGATTTGATATCTAATTGATATGTATGAAAAACATATTCATACGAAGAGAACAATTTATTAAATGAATTTTAGTATCTTAATGAATTAGTCTTTAGCTTTTGATTAGGAGATACTTTGGTTTAGTTTTTTTTTAAATACTTTATTTAGGTAATTTAATTGAAAATTTAAAATTTAAAATTCTTAATTTGGATAGGATAATATAATATTCAATATATGTAAAATTTATTTTAAATAAATTTTTTGAAATTTTAAATTTTACTGAAAATAAACATTACTCAATTTTAAATATTTAGTAACTAAAAATATAAATGCTTACATTCGTATCTAATTTAAATATTGAAGATGGGATAAAAAAATAGAGTTTAAAAAATAATGAAGAGTGAAAAAAATAAAACTTAAAAAATAATAAAGATAAGCGAAAAAAACATAACAATAGTTAGAGAGAGATAAAATAGCATAAGAAAATGAGTAGAAAAAGAGAGGTGAATGAAGATAATTTTTAAAATAAAATTTATTAAAAAGAAAGAATAAATCGAATGGGTATCTAGGATTTTTTTTTTTTTTTGAAAAAAGAAAATATTGGGAGGCATATTTATCAAAGCTAGGTGTATACATCGTTTGTCCTTTTCGATTTATAGAAAAAATAAAGTAGAAGTCAAATGATTTTTTATTTGTTTTATAGATTTTGTTTCAAATGACTTTTGATTTTGTTTTATAGATTTTTTTTCCTCATATATATCATCCACAAAATATTCTAAAAGTGAACGAAAGACGGAGCGTGACTTTCGTTGATGAATTTTATAGATTTTTTAAGTAAATACATTAGTTCTTAGTATACAAATTAAATTTATTTAAAATCAATTGTCTTACACGATGGAATAATGAATCGATAACTATAAAAAATATTATATAAAATTAATTTAATTTAGATAAATTTATTTTAATGATAACAAAAGTATATAAAAGTGTGTCTATATATATATATATATATATCCAGTAATAGATCTAGAAATTTTAGATAGTGGGGGCAATATTTTTTTTTTTTGTCAGGTAAGTGGGGCAATACTTATTTATATATTTGTAGTATTAAAAAATTTACATATATAATTTTTAAAAGAATAAATATATTATTATAATTATTTTTTACAAAATTTTATATTTACGATTACAAGTAAATATGAAAATAAATTAAGTTAGACTAAATTTTATTATAATTTAGTAAGTTTGAACCCAACTTTTAGACAGTTCTTTGTGACGCTCTCATTCTTTGTCACCTTTTGGTTGAATCGAAACCGTACACTTGGAACCACGATAGAAGAAACTCTAATCTGGTCTGCTCTTCCAGGACCAATCATATCACTCCCTCATTTTTTACAAGTCCTAAACTTTGCTTTTTTATTTTATTTTATTTTATAAAAAAATTAATTATTTTTAGAATTTTGAGATATACTTATATATATATATGTCTGTGTGTGTGCGCGCGTGCGTGCGTTCTTGCGTGCATGTGTGTGTGCGTACGTGCGTGTGCGCGTGCGCATGCGCGTGTGTGTGTGGGTGTGTGTGCACATGCGTGCGTGTGTGTGCGTAATAATTAATTTTTTTTAAAAAAACTTGATTTATTGTTAATGAGTATTTTTTATCATATAAATGAATTAAATCTCCTTTAAAAATTTGACAGACATCAAATAAATAAACATATTTTCCAAATTTATATTTTATACATATAATAATTTAAACATATATATATTTTTATTATAATATAATTTTTATTTTTTAGACAAAAAAATATGTGTGTGTGAAATAGTAGTGGGGGCAAGTACCCCCACTGGTCTCAACGTGGATCTGTCACTGTATATATCTATTAAATGTTTTTAATTTTAATAGTAAAATAATATTTTGAAAATAATTAACAATTATTATATTATATAATTAATTAATATTTTATTATTAATTACAAAAGAAAATATTTTTAAAAATTCAATATCATTATTCAATAGTATTTTTATAAGATAAAAAATAATTTATTTAAATAGAATTAATAAATTCAATACATATTAAGAAGAAATTCATAAATAATACAAAATTATTCAATAAATATTTTTGCAACTAATAATCGAAAAGCATAAATATAAATTAAAAAATTGAAAATATGAAATACAAATTATAAAATTAAATTTAAATAATATAAAATTATAAATATTATAAAATATAAAAAATTTATTTACGTGTATTGTTTACTCATTTTACTTACGTTGTTTTATTTTATTAATTAATACATTTAAAATATTATTTGAAATATTTTATTATATGTAACATAAATTAAATAAATTTAAGTACTAATAACAAAATATAAGTATTTATAATTCTATATTATTATTCAATGATATTTTAGAAAATAAAAAATAATTTAGTAAATAATTTATATCTTATTTTAAATATACCCTTAAAATAATTGTTACTTTTTTCATCATAATCATTTTTTCCATCTAATTAATTACTCCTTCCATTCTTTTTATGTATCGATTGTTTATTTATTTATTCATTTATATATGATTTTCAAAGTTCAAAATAACATTAATTGCTTTGTTACAAATCAATTATACGCTTATCAAAAAAGTGGAATTAAAAAAAAATAATATACATTT